GGAGGTACTACAGGGCTATGCAGTTGGAGTTAGTAAAGTCTGGAAAGGAATGCCATAATAGCTGCACAATATTATGAATGTAATTAATACCACTGAACTATACACTGAAAAACTCTTACAATGGTGGCTTTCATGTACCTATTTTACCATCATTTTTTAAAAGTTCTCAGAAGCAAGACCCACTTTGGTGTTATATTATATAATGTGACTTTTTTTCTGTGGAGGCCAGAATGGGACATCAGATTCTGTGGCACTTACAGGAGATTGTGAGATGTGGGTGTTGGGAACCAAACTCCAGTCCTGTGAAAGAGCAGCAAGCACTCTTAACTTCTGAGACATCTCTCCAGCCCCAAAATTTTGATAACTGTTTCTACTGCCTGGGATGGGCAGGGGAACAAGAAGAGGCAAAACAGTCTACAAAAGTTACTGGTAAACCTTAAAGTAGCAGTACCTAAGATCTTGACTTGAAGTCTCACAACTTCTTGAGCTGTCTCCTGAGCCCATTCGCCTCCTTTTAGATGGATGGGTTCCATCGTTTGAGTTATCTTCATTATCGTCCTGTATATTTAAATGATTAAAACATAATAATACAGAACAAAAGAATGAATTTAAAAACAAAGAATGATCATGTATCTTTCCAGTCTGCCTAAGTATCAACAAGAAAAAGCGTATTTCTAACTAGTGTCCTTAGAAAACTTAATTACCTAGAAAAATTAACAGGACAAAGACTTTGTAATAAGTGAAACAAAGCTAAAACTGACCTCCAATCCAAACAAAATAAAAATTTCAACTACAATTTATAAAATGTACTCTACTTTCACTTTCTTACCAATTAGGGTGAGTTGAAATGTCTTCTGCTTTGAAAAGCCACACCACTCTAAAATTAAAGCAAGCCTTCCTATTTGAGCTGGGAAATAAATATTAGCAAATCTTACAGCACCCTTCCACTTAAAACTGGCCCATAAGAGTGCATTCTAATTAGGTACTTTGGAGATGGAGAAAGACTGAACACTGGTTACCAAAATATAACTACATTATTTTTCTCCACTGCAGAAAGTGATAAGCTCATCAGAGATATATGTTGTTCAGCCATTCCATTAAGGAAATGAGCAATCAAATGTTTTAAAACAATTTATTTACATATTCCCAAGGCCTAAGTCATATTTCTTACTACATATTAAAATAATAAAGAGGCAGCACAGGCCAGCATGCCAGTGCTTGGCTGCCTGGAGTCTTACTGGGCACTGCCCTCCACCAGCTGTGTGGTAATGCTGCAAGCTTCTCCTTGTCTGGAAACCTAGGTGCTGAGACACGGATTAAGTGAAGTATCGCATGGAGAGCATTAAGAGCAAAGGCTAGCACATAACTGTCTGACAGATAATAAACTCAAGATTAGTCGTAAGTTTGTACTTTTCATTTTGTCTCTAGCACCTAGGAATTTACTAAAATTCTCTTACAAATAGAAAAACACAGAAATCATTCTTTCAGTCATCAAAAATGAAGGCGACTGAAAGCCTTAACAACCCTCTTAAGACTAACGATCAAGTGGAAGTTGTATTTATATTGCATACTTCACATAGTTCATTTTAAGCACTGAAGTGTCCATTTTATTAATTTGTGGACGTTTAACGATTTTTGTACGGCAACACTTTCTTTTAGTTAAAAAAAAAAACAGTAAGAAGAAACAAAAACGGAAGTCGACACTAACTTTTCAAGCTCAAAAAGGTAGACTCGGGAGGTCTACATTCCAGTGACAGGCCCTCTCCCCCGCTGGTCCGCAGGCCGACCCGAGCCGGCACCTTCGGGCACCGCGCGCCCTTCGAGACCCAGGCAGGGCCACTGGGTCCGCAAACAGGCAGCGGGAGGCCCCCGGGCCGGGCCGGGCACGTGGCCGGGACACCTCGGCTGGCCAGGTTTGTGGGTTTGAACCTGCGTCCCGCCCGGCGTCTCCGCGATCCAGACCCCCAAAGGCCGCAACTTTTTCCGACTTTCCTAGGCTGCGGGCGAGTCGCCCAGCCGCCCAGGCGCCCCGCCTGAGCCGCTCTTCTGGGCTTCCCCGTCCCCGCGGTTCCCGGACAACTTCCCACACCGCCGCGCAGGTCGCCCCGAGGGCTGCGCCCACCGTCGGCCGCACTTGTTGCTCGCGACCGGCCGCCCCGTCCCCCGCCCGCGCACGGCCCGGCCCGCGGCAGCCGTTGGGAGCCCGGTCAGCTCACCTTCGGGGACTGCGCTCCGGGTGAGGCCGGGTCGCTGTCGCACCGCCGCGGGGACAGCGCCGCCCCGGGCCCGGACGCGGCCATCAGCCCCAGCGCCCCGCGCCGCCGCCGCCGCCGCCGCCGTCGCTTGGTCCCGGCCGCC